CTTTCTTTCTTTCTTTCTTTCTTTCTTTCTTTCTTTCTTTCTTTCTTTCTCTCTCTCTCTCTCTCTCTCACACACACACACTTTCTTTCCTTCCTTCCTTCCTTTTGTCTCTCTCCACCTCTTTCTTTCTTCTCTCTCTCCCACTTCCTTTTTCTTTCTTTTTTCTTTCTCTTTCTCTCTCTCTCTCTTTTCTCTCATTCTCCCACCATTCCTTCCTTCCTTCTTTCCTTTCTTGTGTGTATCTCTTCCTTTCCTGTGTGTATCTCTCTTCCTTCTTTCTTTCCTCCCTTCCTTCCTGAACAGGTTCCAAAAGGTATGCTAAATTTCACGAACCGGTTCTGGCGTACTGGTGCGAACCTGGAGAAACCCACCCCTGACACACAGCCTTGTAGGAGCACAATCAGCTGGCCAATGATGAAGCCTTTAGTTCTCCAATGAAGAGCTCTCCTTCCATGACCCTTAAGGTGGCAATGGCCATACAGAAGCCTTCTGGGAGGTCTTGGATTGCAACTCCCATCATCCTTTCTCACCCCTTTTGCTTGGAGGTCTTCTAATCCAACCCTCTGCTCAGGCAGGAATCCCTATGTCATGTCAGACACATGGTTGTCCAATCTCTTCTTAAAAGCCTCCAGTGATGGAGCATCCACAACTTCTGGAGGCAAGTTGTTCCACTGGTTAATTGTTCTCAATGTCAAGGAATTTCTGCTTAGTTCTAGGTGCTTCTTCAATGTTGGTGAACCCATTTTTATCTATGCATCAATAATTACTAATTGTTATTATAGTCATGGGCAAAGAATTCGAAGGCATTTCTCAAATTACAGAAATAACCAGTGGCCTGAAGATAAAGCAGGAGATGGGGACTTTGGCATCAAATCAGACATTAAAGCAAATATTTCATTACTGGTTGATGTCTGTCAACCAGCAGAACGCCAAACAGTCTCCCTTTTGATTTATAAAGAAAGAAAGAAAGTTTACTTTTCTTGTAAAACAAACACGGATGACTAATTTTAGGATTTTAAAAAAACACAGATAATGCTGAGTTGAGAAGAGAACACAGCCCATAATGTCATTACATCACCGCATTTGCAGATCAATAATCATTCCACGTGGATTATATTTGGTAGTTGGAAGATCTTGGATCACACGATAACCTAGTCACACTGCTTTATTTATGCGAAAGAATGTAACAGAAAACGAGATAAGGCACCAATACACAAGTGGGATGGAGTTGGGAATCTTCACAGTCCACCAACCACCTCCAGAGTGGGACAACCCCATCAGGGCTACCAGCCAATCAGCAGAGCCAAGTTTCCAGGCCCTTTCTATTAAACAGTTTTTAAAAAAAATAAAAAAAGACAAAAAAAAATATTTTGCAATTTCCTTTTGTACCTCATTTCCACCTCGGTATACACCCATCCATTGTAAATGTACTTCTTCCCCCTTATTTCAGTTTCTCTTTGTCTATACGTATGATACTATTATATACATTCCTTAATTTACAATCCNGCTATTTAAAGCGCCCTTCTTTCTCCGCGCTCGCTGTTGTCGCCCTGTTGATGATGTCAGCGACGCGGTTTAATCGGGCGCGGCTTAGTCGAGCGTGGTTTTGTCATGCCACGACCCAGGAGGGATATGGGAGGACAGGCGTGATGGTCTGCTAACATGATGCTTGTGCTTACTATCTTACAGGTGCAGCCCTGGTAGAGGGGAGCCACCTGTCAACCCCTGGACTGCAGGTGGGTGGTGGGAAGGCTGCAAGCGGCGAGAAACACAGAGCTGACAAACAGCTAATCCCATCTGAATACATGCTGGCTGACGATCAGCTGATTATGGTTCCCTGCAAGCTGGCCAACCAGCAGCTGGTCGAGTCTGCTGGCATTCTGACAATCAGCTGATTGGGCCTACCGGATGGTCAGCTGCTCCAGGAGCAGAGAGGGGCGGCTCCAGCCTTTATAGGGCTCTGGGAGGTGGAGGCTCCCAGCTCTAACTTTATTCCTTACTTTTTTTTGTTGACAGAACTCACTGTGTGCCGAGCATCCGGCTTATTTAACCATTTGGAACCCGAAGTGAGTGGCCTCCTGATTGTAGTTTAGGTCCAGAGCTCGGTCCTTTGAGCTTTGACTCTCAAGTCATTTCCAAGTAGTTCATTCAGATTTGTCCCACAATGGGTGTGCATGGGGCTGGAGAAGATATTATGAGGAGGGGGGGAATGCTTCCAGAAGTAAGTTCACTGCAAACCTATAGAAAGAAATCTGGTGTAGCCCAATTGCAGGTTTCATTTGCTGGACGAAGGAAGTACTACTACAGATGTGGGAGAATCATAATCTTCTTCAATATTGTTCAACCAGAAATCCTGACTTCCCCAAAATGGCCCCTTCTATCTCCTCACTCCACACATACACACACACCAGGGGTGGGTTTCAAATTTTTTAGAACCTATTCTGTAGGTGTGGCCTGTTTTGTGGGAGTGGCTCGGTGGTCATGGGACTGGGGGGCGTGGCTTGGTGGGTATGTGACAGGGTGGGCATGGCCAGCTTGGAAAATGTGGTGAAACTCACTTAACAATGCTCTTGCTTAGCAACCAAAATTTTGGGCTCAATT